AAAGATTAAAGCCTTATTTAGTTTTTATTTGCAATATATTATGAGGGAACAAGGCTTTGAGAGCTTGTGCATCCTTTCCTAAGGGTCTTGCAGCGGTGTGTGGTTTTACATTGTAATGCAAAGCTGTGGTGTGGCCCAGAGTACACCGTGTCTCTTCCCATCTCAATGCATGACTTCCTGGCTTCAGAAATCCATAGACCAGAAATCCATAGACTGGGCAAGCCAGACTTGGCAGTCTTGTGCATGGTGGGTCCCTCTTGATGAAGTCACAACTTAGACACAGTGATAGTTGAATGAAGGGCTTGTAGTTTCAGTCGTAGAATCATGGAGTCCCAGGTTGAAGGGACATCAAGGGTCATCTGCTCCAACCTTTCCAGGCACAGCATTACCTAGATGGGATGCCCAGCACCCTGTGCAGCCCCATCTTAACAGTGTCCAACACTGGGGAGTCCCCACTTCCCTGGGGACATTATTCCAATGGCTGCTTGTTCTCATTGGGAGGCATTTTCCTCTTGTGTCCATTGGGAATCTCCCCAGCAGTAACTTGTGCCCATCACCCCTCAGCTCTCCCATGGGACTCCTTGTCCAAAGGGAGCCTCCATCTTCCCTGCAGCCCCCCTTTACCTCCTGGCACATGGATCAGGTCTCCCTGAGCCTTCTCTTCTCCAGCTGAACAGTCCCAGCTTTCTCAGCCTTTCCTCACTGCTGCCCAGCCCTTGGAGCATCTTTGAGGCCCTTCTCTGGACCCTCTCCAGCCCAGCCACATCCTTCTTGTACAGCAGGACCAAACCTGAGCACAGTATTCCAGTGATGGCCTGACAGCACCAAATAGAGTGGATTAAATCCATAGGTAGCTGTTCCTTTGTGAGAATAAAGTTATGCTACTGTCTGGTTGGGGTTTCTTGCATTCTTGTAGGTAGGAAGCTGTTAATCCTGGTCTACCAGCAGTATGATTTAGGTTACAGTATATATGTATGCTTGTTAATAGTGTTTTACATCTTTCAAGTGCAGGCCTGACCTATCACTGTTAAGGAGTTTTATGGCTTGTGTGCAGTGGAATGAAACTCAAAACAATTGTGGTTTGGAACAAACATTTGTTAAGTATGAAGGCTACTATGTGTAAATAGAGGGGGGTAATTCCTTGGATTGGCTTGGTACCTTGGATTGAAAACTCCTTAGCAAGTCCAGTCAAGGATCCTGGAGCAGCTTTTTTATTCTAGTTAACAACTTAGTACAAACAACACGCTTTGCAACAGGGTACTAACATGAAGCACAGATGTTTCTGGCATGCCTGGGCTCATGTTTGGTGCTGTTGTGTAACTCAGGCTAATTGGGAATTGCATAATGAGGTAAGACAGGGAAACAACGAGGCTGACCCTGGCCTGGGGAAGGCACATGGAAAGGTCTTGTAATGTAGTATCATGGAGTAGTTTGGGTTGGAAAGGGCCTTAAAGCTCATCCAGTTCCAACCCCCTGCCATGGGCAGGGACACCTCACACTAAACCATGGCACCCTGTGCCAGGGCTTCAGCATCCTCACAGAGAAGAGCTTCTTCCTTATCTCCAACCTGAACTTCCCCTGTTTCAGTCTGAACCCATCACCCCTTGTCCTATCACTGCAGTCCCTAATGAAGAGTCCCTCTCCAGCATCCTTGCAGCCCCCTTCACACACTGGAAGCTGCTCTGAGGTCTCCACGCAGCTTCTCTTCTCCAGGCTCAACAGCCCCAGGGTTCTCAGCCTGGCTCCATACAGGAGCTGCTCCAGCCCCTGCCCATCCTCGTGGCCTCCTCTGGACTTGCTCCAGTAATGTCAGAACATAAAGATGAATTAGGAGACAGCACCTTACTCCACAAGCAGATGTATACATGGAGGCAGCTCAGCTTAGTAATGTTTCTCATTGACAAGCTAAAACAAATGACTTGTGTTGAGCTGCATGAAGTCCATCTATGAGAGTCTCAGAAAACAAGCACAAGGAAAGGATGATGTGTCCACTCGGTGCTGCAGCTGAGTCGGAAGGATCTGCCTTTCAGATGGGAATGCTCCATCTTTGGCCTTTGTATTCATTCTGAAGCAGTGTTTTGTGAATCTTGGCTGCAGTACTGCAATGCAGATAACTGTATCTTACTTCTTTTCCTCCTTTCCTCAGCTCTGTGAAGAGTGTTCACAGCACACGTTAATCATTCACCTGAAGACCACTTGTAAGGAGAAGTGGGAACTTCACTTGGCTAAGTAGCTTTGGCTTTTCCCATGGGAAATACTTCCCAAGCTCATCCATTCCTTCAGTCTCTGTATCTAATTATGTGGGGGAGTTGTGCATGCACCAGTGCCCGTAGGGAGATACCTTTTAAGTGACAAATTCCACTCTAAAACCTTCCTGCTTTAAAGAATCACCTGTCTTCTAAAGGGAATTAAAAGTAACACCTCTCAAAAGTAGTTCTGTTGTTTGAAACAGGTTTAAAGACATCCTTGCAGATAGCTTTCAGATGAAAACAGATCCATGTTTCAGGGTTTGCCTGAATGAACATTATAGTCATTTATTTTCTGACTTATCTTCTTAATATAAAGATGATATTGAAATGCAGGAGCATGTTGAGAACAAGAAAACCACCGCTGGGGAGGGGCTCTTCATTAGGGACTGTAGTGACAGGACAAGGGGTGATGGGTTCAAAGTGAAACGGGGGGAGGTTAGATTGGATAGAAGGAGGAAATTCTTTCCTGTGAGGGTGCTGAGGCACTGGAATGGGTTGCCCAGGGAGGTTGTGAATGCTCCATCCCTGGCAGTGTTCAAGGCCAGGTTGGACAGAGCCTTGGGTGCCATGGTTTAGTGTGAGGTGTCCCTGCCCATGGCAGGGGGGCTGGAACTGGGTGATCTTAAGGTCCTTTCCAACCCAAACCATTCTATGATTCTATCAGTTCACCTCAGACAAACTTCTGTATAGAGTAAGGATGTGAGTTGAGAGGGAGAAAAATCTGTGTAACACCAGTTGGTGTTTTAGTTTGTAGTCATGGGATGGTTGCGTTCCAACAGCTCCACGTCCCTCTTGTGCTGCTGCCCCAGAGCTGGATCAGGGCTGCAGGGGGGGGTCTCCCCTTCACACAGCAGAGGGGCAGGATCCCCTCCCTGAGCTGCTGCTCACGCTCTGGGGGTGCAGCCCAGCACACGGGGGGGTTCTGGGCTCAAGCACACACTGAAGCCGGGTCATGGGGAGCTTCTCCTCACCCAACACCCCAAGTCCTTCTCCTCAGGCTGCTCCATCCAGGCTCCCCCAGCCTGGGTTTGTGCTGGGATTGCCCCAGCCCATGGGCAGGACCTTGCCCTTGGCCTGGTTGAGCTCCATGAGGTTCACACGATCCCAGCTCTCCAGCCTGTCCAGGTCCCTCTGGATCCCATCCCTCCCCTCCAGTGTCACTGCACCACAGAGCTCGGTGGCATCAGCAAACCTGCTGAGGGTGCTGGATCCCACTGTCCATGGCACCAACAAAGATGTTGAACAGGATCAGTCCCAACACCAACCCCTGAGGACACCACTCATCACTGGTCTCCACTTGGACATCGAGCCGTTGACCACAACTCTTCGAGTGCAACCATCCAGCCAATTCAATTCCTTATCCACGAGTGGTCCATCCATCAAACCCACTGTACACATACCCTGCATAGTCTACTGTGCTTCAGGCACTACAGGAAAAGCACTTCCCCTCTAATTTCTGCTTAGGCCCATCTATCTTTGCTGAGTTTGCTTGGTTTCACGCTGCTATTAACTTGATGGGTCACTGCAGGTAGCAATGCTGTAGTAAAGTGCTTCTGATCCCTGTGGAAGGGGCTGGAAGGGTGAGGAAGGACATGAAACTTTCCTGCTTGCTCAGTAACATGCTCAGAAGGAAGAACACTGAAAGGAAGTGCAGGGAAAGCTCAAGCATGGTTCAGTGGGTTCCTGTGGTTGCCTCCATCAGTGACTCACTGAAGGACAAAATCACTTGGTTTTTGTTCCTCTGGTAAGCAAATGCAAGAGGAGGAGAGGGAGGAACAGGATGATGATGATGATGATGATGACAATGGTCATAAATAACCTCCATTTTATTCCTAGGTTTGCCCCCCACTTCCTTACTTGCTCTTTGGAATTCTCCTTTGCTTTTCTTGAAGTCCTGGATTTCTTCATGCTACCCTTGCCCTTCCTCCTCCTTAGGCTGTTAATAATGTGGATCAGGGTGGTGGTTTGTCACAAGTTAGGGAAAGCCTTGGCTCCAGCAGCACAGAAGCATGCCAGGATGCTGAAGTGCACCCAGCTGTTGGCAAACCTGCATTTTCATTCCATTCCAAAGACAAAACTCATGGAGCTGTTCATTGCAGTGGGAGACTTCATTCTAGAGTTGTTACAATACCCTGTTTCCATAACAAATGAGCTTCCTGTCATCTCTGGGAAGTGCTGGTGGAAAAGAGCCACATTTTGGGGTTGTGTGTATCACACTGGGTTGCCTTGTGTATCATGGCCCATGGCAGGGGGGTTGGAACTGGGTGATCTTAAGGTCCTTTCCAACCCAAACTATTCTATGATTCTGTGATAGCCAGTTTAGTCACCAGCTGAAAGAGCATCCAGGGTCTGAAGCCCAGGAGTATCCCTGATTTTAAAAGCACTGTGAAATGCTGGGGCTTGGTCTGCTTTCTTGCCCTTTGGAAATGGTCTGCACTTCACCAACCACTAGAACATAGGAGTAGAAACTTAGCCTGAACTAATAGATGGGATCGTAGAATGATTTGGGCTGGAAGGGACCTTAGGATCATCCAGTTCCCGCTGGTGAAATTGGCTGTGCCTGTGGTTTTACATCTCTAGAGCAAGATCCCCTGCCTCTTGGCTCACTCCACATTCCTGCAGGCAAGGAAATGAAGAACCAGACTTTACTCTGCATGGAGCAGCTTTCGGAGCCGCAGGAGTGATGTGGGGATCAGGCAATAACACGTTGGGATCTTGACAGAGCTCTGACTGCTGTCTGTGTTTCCTCAGATAATAAAGCTGAAAGCAGAGGCTCGTCTGGACCTGCTCAAGCAGATCGGGGTGTCCGTGGATACGTGGCTCAAGAGCGCCATGAACCAAGTGATGGAGGAACTGGAAAACGAGCGCTGGGCCAGCCTGCCCTCAGTGACCAACAACGGCTCTTCACACCTGGTAGGGCCTCCGTCGTCTCAACCTCACCTTGGTTCCATGTGGCTCTTTCCTAGTAGCAATTCCTAACTTAATATTGAATATAAACCAGAATTCATCATAAATCATTGAATTAGGGAAGGGTTTGGGTTGGAAGGGACCTTAAAGCTCCTCCAGCTCCAACCCCTGCCACGGGCAGGGACCCCTTCCATAGAGCAGCTTGCTCCAAGCCCCTGTGTCCAACCTGGCCTTGAACACTGCCAGGGATGGGGCAGCCACAGCTTCTCTGGGCACCCTGTGCCAGCGCCTCAGCACCCTCACAGGGAAGAGCTTCTGCCTAAGAGCTCAGCTCAGTCTCCCCTCGGGCAGGTTCAAGCCATTCCCCTTGGCCTGGCCCTACAGGCCCTTGTCCCAAGCCCCTCTCCAGCTTTCCTGCAGCCCCTTCAGGCACTGGAGCTGCTCTCAGGTCTCCCCTTCAGGAGCCTTCTCTTCTCCAGGCTGCCCCAGCCCAGCTCTCTCAGCCTGGCTCCAGAGCAGAGCTGCTCCAGCCCTCGCAGCAGCTCCATGGCCTCCTCTGGAGCTGCCAGTACCAACAAGGAGAAGAGAAACTGCTATAAGACCTCACAATGTGTTTATTTTCTTTCATCCCTTCCATGCCTGGCAATGCTGAGCTGTCACCTTTGGCACTAGAACCAAACCCATGTGTTGCTCTTCACCAATAACCAAGCAAAATAAAATTCCTGAAGGTTTGGTCAGTTTGCCTCAAATAAATCTTACTTTTCTGATTTTCATGCTTTTAATATTTAACAAAATTCAGAGGCTTTTGCAAAGTCTTGGTTTTCATGTAGATACTTCCCTAACTATAGCCTTCATACTGGGTTAAAAACGACTTCATTCATACTTTATCTCCCCTTCAGATTAATCTTCATCTTTGGACACCCAGAATGTACGTTCTGAAGAGCAGAACTTGCAGGGGGAGCAGGGATGTGGTTTTTCTTTGCACTGCAGATGATTTGCTTCCTTTTGCTGACCACCTAAAAGAAACAACATCTCCCTTTCAGCAAGAATGTGGAATCTACACACAAAATTCCTGCTCATTCCTATGTTTCTTTGTGCTTCTTTAGTGTCTTCTTGGTAATGGTGGCAAAGCCATAGAGGGAAAAGGGAGTTTGGGATGTAGAGGTGTTATCATCTATGTCAGCTTTAGTTCAAAGAAGTGAGCGCTGAATGGAGTCTCACTTTGTTGCCTTCAGGCTGTTGGGATGTCTCTCCAGGGACCTTATACAGAACTCAGACACAGTGACAGTGATATGCAGGAAAGGTTCTTGTAGGCACTCCTCAGTGTAGTCTGTCTCTGCTTTATTCCCATGGTGAGTGGTATAATTAGAGATTAAAGCTGTAGTATGCAGATCCATGCTCCAGTCTTCCCAAATCCCAGAGGAGTTCTTGTACTGAGATTCCTTTCAGATCCTTTCTACATGAGGAGATGTTACATAGCTGTGTTTAACAGTGCCTTTTTTCCCTTTCTTCTTGTACTCCACCTCCTTTACTTGCCCTCGTGCACGCTGGAATGTGCCCAATGCCTTGTTCTCTGTCTCATCACACACGCCAAGAGCCAGCCCTGGAGCCAAGCCCTGCGCTAGTCCCTGGTGAGCCAGCAGATGCCACAGAGTGGGAGGCTAAACTCTGAGCCTTATTTTCCCCTTTTACACTTACATACGCTCCTGTGTGAAAACAAGGATGCTGTTGACCTTGGCAGCCAGCTGAGGACAGCAGGAGATGGAATTCTTAGAAGGCCAAAGGCCAAAATTACGCTGCTTGCAATTATTAGAGGAATTACTGCAGCGTGTCACAAGCAGCAGTTTCTCTTCAGCTTTGAAGAGGGATCAGTGTTCACTGCTCAGAAACCAGGTACCCACCTCCTGTAAGTGATACCCAGCTTTGCTCTTTGATCCAGGGAGTCTGTTCAGCAAAGCTCTCCATGTGTTTCCTTGTAAAGAGTGAAAAAGGAGAAAGGAAGGTCAATGCCTACATTACTACAGGAATGTAATGAGCTGAAGGAGTTAATATCCCATTGCCTCTCCAGTGGGCTGATTTTGTGATAGAATCATAGATCCACAGCCTGGTTTGGGTTGGAAGGACCTTAAAGCTCATCCAGTTCCAAGCCTCTTGCCACGGGCAGGGACCCCTTCCACTAGAGCAGCTTGCTCCAAGCCCCTGTGTCCAACCTGGCCTTGAGCAGTGCCAGGGATGGGGCAGCCACAGCTTCTCTGGGCACCCTGTGCCAGCGCCTCAGCACCCTCCCAGGGAAGAGCTTCTGCCTAAGAGCTCAGCTCAGTCTCCCCTCGGGCAGGTTCAAGCCATTCCCCTTGGCCTGCCCCTACAGGCCCTTGTCCAAAGCCCCTCTCCAGCTTTCCTGCAGCCCCTTTAGGCACTGGAGCTGCTCTAAGGTCTCCCTGGAGCTAAAATCATTTGACTCAGCAGCAATTATAGGATCATAGAATCATGGAGGCTAGAAAAGACCTTTAAGTCCATATATATATATAGTGATCTTGATCTTATATCTCTTTTCGTACCTTTTTTGATGTGTATAATCAAACTATGTCATCACTTTCTACCCGCATTTCTTCTTGTCTGTGCTGTCTCATACCTTCAGTGTAATTGTCTCATGTACTTACTCTTTGCCTATGCTGTCTTTCATCACTAATGTGTTGAAAGATGAGTTTTAGGAAACAAGCTGCTTCATTTTCTGTCTCATTGCTGCTGTTTTCCCTCTTTGCAAACAAACCCATTCAAGGAGGTTGAGCAGCCCCCACACTGAAAATGAAACTGTCATTTTCTGCCTCGTGTTAGGAAACCAGGAGCAGATGTTTTCTGAAGGACTCTTTCTAGACCTGATACACTCATTTCCATGATGTTTCTTGTGGCTGTCAGCTGGATCAGCTCCTGCTGCTGGGACATAGACCATGCACAGCAAAAGGCAGTTAGAAACCAGAGAGGGAAACCTTACATTTGCCATAGTTTCTGCTTGGTTGGGAATACATCAAAGCACGAGGCAGGGCAGTGATTTGCTGTTACAGCAACATCCATCAACACATTCAAGCAGCAACAAATCAAGCTTGAATCATAGAATCAGATAGGTTGGAAAAGAACTTCAGGTCCAGCCTTTACCCAGCATTGCCAAGCCCATCACTAAACCATGTCACTAAAGGCCTCATTGGGAATGTGAGGGGGAAATAATCATCTGAATTACCAGATTTTAGCCTAAAAACTGCAACACTACAAATTCATCTGAGTTGGGAAATGATGAAGTTTTGTGCTCTTCCACCCCAGGTCTAGAAGAGCAAAGATGCTGCAGAGCAGAGGTACAGCATCACCTGGCTTAGGGAGGCTGCCTTTAGTCTCAGCCTAACTTTGTGCTGATTTATGAGCCCTCCGTGAGGAAAACCAAATGCACTCCCAAATTTAAAGGAATATATAGAGGGAAGATGGCAAACACAAATACCCCACAGCGTTGCCTTTGGTTGGAAGGACTGGCCTGCTTTCACATGAGAGAAAGTGTTTATTCAGGATGTCATCCAGGCAGGAGGCCAGAGCACAGCTCATGGCACTGCTGCCCCAGCTGCCCTTATGGAAACTTGGATGTTTCCAGTGTCTCGACTTGAGGTTCTGTTTCAGCTTTTACCCCTAGTTTTTAATCATTCTTTCTCTAAGGATTGTTGTTTCTTGCACCATGCCCATTGTGCAGAACACACCAGTGAGAAGCTGATTTTTCAATTCTTCAGCTCTTATTTTTGTGACTTCCAAGTATTTCCATTGAGGCTTCACTTCAGACTCCCCCTCACAAGTGCATTCAGCCTTAGCAGCAGAAACTCTCAGTCAGTGACTCCTTTTCCCATTCAACTCTTTGCTGTGCCTCTCAAACTGCATCTCCAAAGGACACGAGTCCCTCTTTATAGCTTATAGGGAATAAATAACTGCCCATCAGTGCGGTTGGAGCTTCCAAAGTCTTCTCTGGTTCTTAAATCCACAGTGCTTGAATGAGGAAATGCATCTGAGTTAGGCAAAGATGTAGTTTGGTGACAGCTCTTACTCTTTTCTTTCCCTGTATTTGCTTTGTTTGATGACCTTCCTCACATTATTTGGGAATCATGTTGGATATTATTTAGTTATTGGGGGTTTTGTCCAGTTTGAATGATCATCATAAATAGTAAAAAAAAACGTTGAAAGATAATGATCAATTCATTTCCATTGTTATTCCCTTTTCATTTGAGGGTCTGATGCCCAATTTCATTTGTTTGAACAGGGAAATGCTGATGCAGAGAAGGAAGAAGGTGAAGAGTTTGAAGACAGCATGGATGTGTTTGATGACAGTAGTTCTAGTCCTTCTGGTACTCTAAGGAATTACCCTCTCACCTGCAAAGTTGTTTATTCATACAAGGTTTGTGAGTTATCTTTTTGTGTCGATTTGATCAGAAAACTGATCAGCAAACATAATAGATGTAACGGTGCTTATGGCACTTGAATAGAATCACCACAGAGTAATAGACTGCTTTGGGTTGAAAGGACCTTAAAGCTCATCCAGTTCCAGCCCCCTGCCATAGGCAGGGACACCTTCCACTGGAGCAGCTTGCTCCAAGCCCCATCTGGTGTCAGCGTTTGGCTCAGTAATTAAATATATCTAGCACCTAGTTGTGACTATCTGCAGCAGTAAAGTCCATGCCATCATGAAACACATTTAAACTACACTTCAGCACAGTCCTGACGTCTGTTCCCTATTTGCAGCTTGCAGAGATGTCCCTGCCTGGCTTCAGGGCCAGCAGATGTGTGTGTGCTGTTACAACCTGCTGTAATTCCTCTTGCTGAGCCGGTGGGGCTGTAGCAGAGATGCCTTCTCAGTGTCAGGCTGCGTGACAAAGCCCCTCTTTGTCCTGTAATAGTGAAACCACCATTCATGAGTGCAGGCTTTGCTGACAAACTGCATTCAGGCTGGTTACGTCTGCTAGCACTGCTAGGTCAGTTGTAAATCACACCACTGTGGAGCCAAAGCCAGTGGCAGACGTGGACCTAGAGTACAGAGTAATTAGAGATCCCAAAGTAAATAGGGTTTGACACGTTGATGCTGTGCAGGATGCTTCTGTCTGTCCGAAATGAAACAGGGCCTTGTGAGCATCAGTAAGTGTATAGAAGAACACTTATACTATGTTTTAAACTATGCTATATCATAGAATTTTCAATTCTTGAAACCACATAAGCTTCAATAAAAGTCTGGATGAGAATGTTCTTTACACTGCCTGGCCTGCACACCTTGATTTTGTAATCTTCCTGTAATACATTTCAGGCTTCTCAGCCAGATGAATTGACCATAGAGGAACATGAGGTGTTGGAGGTGATAGAAGATGGAGATATGGAAGACTGGGTAAAGGTATTGGTTTTCTGAGATTGTTTTCTTTTCATAGAGTCATAACAGAATGGTTTGGGTTGGAAAGGACCTTAGGGCTCAGTTCCAACCCAGGGAAGAGCTTCTGCCTAAGAGCTCATCTCAGTCTCCCCTCTGGCAGGTTCAAGCCATTCCCCTTGGCCTGGCCCTACAGGCCCTTGTCCCAAGCCCCTCTCCAGCTTTCCTGCAGCCCCTTCAGGCACTGGAGCTGCTCTCAGGTCTCCCCTTCAGGAGCCTTCTCTTCTCCAGGCTGCCCCAGCCCAGCTCTCTCAGCCTGGCTCCAGAGCAGAGCTGCTCCAGCCCTCGCAGCAGCTCCGTGGCCTCCTCTGGCCTCACTCCAACAGCTCCACGTCCCTCTTGTGCTGCTGCCCCAGGGCTGGATCAGGGCTGCAGGGGGGGTCTCTCCAGAGCACAGCAGAGGGGCAGGATCCCCTCCCTGAGCTGCTGCTCACGCTCTGGGGGTGCAGCCCAGCACACGGGGGGGTTCTGGGCTCAAGCGCACACTGAAGCTGGGTCATGGGGAGCTTCTCCTCACCCAACACCCCAAGTCCTTCTGCTTGGGGCTGCCGTCAATAATTTCACTGTTACTTTTAAAAACAGAACTCGGGCCAGGAGAAGCATTTGGACTCTTTTCAGAGCCATAAGCAAAACCAGAGAATCTTTTATGCCCCTCTTTTCACAGGCACGGAATAAAGCAGGTCATGTGGGCTATGTGCCAGAGAAGTACCTGCAGTTCCCAACGTCCAGCAGTCTGCTGAGCATGCTGCAGTCCCTCGCTGCACTGGATAACAGATCACACACCTCAAATAACTCCACGGAGGCTGACTTGGTCTCAGGCACCCTGAATGGAGACTCCAGTGGTAAATACCAATAAACTGAAGTCTGTGTCAGCCTTGTTCTCAAAGGATTCTGCATGTTGAGGTTGGATGCTGCATATGAGAGTGTCTCCTATTTGACCAGTTTCTGAGTACAATTCTTCTCAGTATTTACCAGTCTCATATCAAACCTGCGTAATTTATCTGTCTCTCAGAGTTGAGATTAACTGAAATTAAGGAAAACCAAAACCAGAATCCCAGCCTGGTTTGGGTTGAAGGGACCTTAAAGCTCATTCAGCTCCAACCCCTGCCACAGGCAGGGACCCTTTCCACTAGAGCAGCTTGCTCCAAGCTCCTGTGTCCAACCTGGCCTTGAACACTGCCAGGGATGGGGCAGCCACAGCTTCTCTGGGCACCCTGTGCCAGCGCCTCAGCACCCTCCCAGGGAAGAGCTTCTGCCTAAGAGCTCAGCTCAGTCTCCCCTGGGGCAGGTTAAAGCCATTCCCCTTGTTCTGTTGCTACAGGCCCTTGTCCCAAGCCCCTCTCCAGCTTTCCTGCAGCCCCTTTAGGCACTGAAGCTGCTCTAAGGTCTCCTTGGAGCCAAAATCATTTGATTCAGCAATTATAGAATGATGTTGCTTGGAAAACCCCTTTAAAATCATTAAGTCCAACCTTAGCTGTATCTATGGTATTGGTTTTTTTTATGCCTCTGCCAATTCCGCTTTTATTCTTCCTCTTCCATCCTTCAGTGTGTTTTGTGAAAGCACTTTACGATTACGAGGGCCAGACGGATGACGAGCTGTCCTTTCCGGAAGGAGCCATCATCCGCATCTTGAACAAGGAAAATCAGGATGATGATGGCTTTTGGGAAGGAGAATTCAACGGGCGCGTTGGGGTGTTCCCGTCCGTCTTAGTTGAGGAGCTGACGGCCTCAGAAAATGGAGAGACTCAGTGGATTGGAGATATTCAGGTATGTAAAGAGTTGAGGGGTTGGGGTGATGGGGGGTATTGAGTTTGTTAGGGTGGTTTTGCAATGCTCAAAGATTTGCTTCTTCTGGAGGGGAAAAAAAAAAAACAAATTGGGACCAAGTTAAGAACGAAACCCCCTAAATAATTCAAGCAAAATAAATCAGAACCAATTTAAGGAAAAAAAAATCAAATCAGAGCCAGGATAAAATGAAAAACCCAAACCTCGAGTGCTTCACTTTGAGTTTCTTTCCCAACCTAATAGTGCCCAACTGATGTATTTTAGCAAATGTAATGGATCTGTGGATAAAGGCAATTAGTTGGGTGGAAAGGCAATGAAGCCAAGGAGGAAATTCCCAGTCTACTTCCTGTAATGAATTTATGGCATTGACTGAGACATCAAATGCAGGCTGGCAGAAAGAATTACAGGCTCCCTCAGCCCTCATTTAATGTTTTCATACTGAAATCTGTTCTGTATCCTCTCAGTCTGGAAGGGCAGAGCGCTGTCAAATAGTGAATTACAGTGGTTTTTGCCAAAACGGCCTCATTTCTTATTTTTTTCTTAATGTTAGAAAATCAGACACATTCTCCTGTGTAACTGGGCTAGAAACTGGATTTTTGTGTTCCCTACAAGGTAATTTCTCTGGTACTTTTAGTCTTTGATTGAGGCAGACCACAAAAACTTCACTTTTACATGATACATATGATAAAACTCACTGTCATCTTGGAGCTTTTGTGTGAGAGGCACACTTGGCCAAGTGACTTTGCAGCTGACCTTCCCAGCGTCTGCATTACCTGGGAGAGGATGAAGATCTCTGCTTAGTGGCAAGCTGTGATTTAACACACATGCAATCACTGTTGGGTAGCTTGGTTTTGCTCCTCAAAACCCTACCTGACAGCACTTTTGAACACGTACTTTTCCTCCAGGGGACAGCTCTTGTGTACTGATGTGTCACTTCTAGTGCAGGGATGCGGCACACAACTGGCTGTGCCTGGAGGGGTAGATGAAAGCTGTTAAGGAGTGAGTGAGGTTTGCTGCAAGCCCTGTCTCTTCTTCCCACAGGTATCCCCAACTCCAAAGCCTAACCATGCCCTTCCACCGCTGCCCCTGTATGACCAGCCTCCCACTAGCCCCTACCACAGTCCGGATAAACGAGGTTCTCAGTACTTCCCCAGATCACCCTCAACTAATGGTAAGAGATTTGGGGATGGCCAAAGAAACGGCTCAGCAAGATGCTGATGGGTTCAAACTGAAACAGGGGAAGGTTAGATTGGATCTAAGGAAGAAGTTCTTTCCTGTGAGGGTGCTGAGGCACTGGAATGGGTTGCCCAGGGAGGTTGTGAATGCTCCATCCCTGGCAGTGTTCAAGGCCAGGCTGGACAGAGCCTTGGGTGCCATGGTTTAGTGTGAGGTGTCCCTGCCCATGGCAGGGGGTTGGAACTGGATGATCTTAAGGTCCTTTCCAACCCAAACCATTCTATGATTCTATGCTTCAGTTAGAATGTTCCTGTTTCATACTTGGGGGTGGGGGAAGAAGCTTTTTTTGCCACCTGAAGTTCATTCAGTGATATTGAGGGGCTTGGTTTTGATGGGTTCTTCCTTCCCCCTTCAGAAAACAGCTTCAGCTCAGAGTCCCCTGGATTCTCACAGCCTCCACGAGTTCCTCCTGAAAGTTCCTATGGGAAACTGCGACCTGTGAGTTAAAACCTAATCCTGATGTTCTCTTGAAGCTAGGAAGGTATAAAAGCCAAGTTTAGGTGAAGCAGGATGGGTGCGTTCAAAGCAGGGGGGTGATGCAGCACTGATGATCTGTGTTCTGCGGATGCAATTACTGTGTATTAAAGCGTGTTATCTCAGATGAAGACTGCAGGGGAAGGTCTGTTCACTCCCCTTTGATAATAGCAAAGCTGTGCCCAAAAGCTGGAGGACACAAGAGCTCTTGGAGATGAAGTAAACACTAGAACAAAACAAAGCTGCACTTGTTTAAACACTTCCTCATTGTGTTTAAAGATGCCCTTGAATCTTACCCATCCCCTCTCCTTCACCTAAGCTGCTCTTCCGCCTCTGCCTTTATAGGTGTGACACCTCTGTGTCTCTGCATGAGGCATGTAGATTGTGAAATCTAACCTGTGGGGAAATTGCATCTGTAGTGAGAGCAAAATAGGTGGGAGGTGATAAACTCAGAGTGCCTTTGCAGGCATCGGGAGGTTATTTCTGGCCTTGACACATAGAATAACCCCATAAAAGAGCTAGAAAAGGGGGTGAATAAATGCCAGAACCATTTAATTCTATCATTCGTACAGTTCTCCTCCAGTGTGCCAGCAGACACATCTGCTTGCCAGCAGTTTGTGGTAATGTGTGGACTCCATTGCATTTAGGGTTAAATTTACTTCCAGACCTCTTGATTTGAGAGGTTTGGGTTTAAAAGTCTGAATTATAACATCTATATATTCTGTTTTGTCTTTGCTGCCTCAAAAGAGAGATTTTGCCAGAAAAGGAAAGGAAGAATTTAATCCCTTTAGGACTTGCAAACTCCATCTCCTAGGATTAACTTTGCAATCAAGGTTGGGATGGTTTCAAAGTCCTAAATCAAATCATATTCAGTTGCATTGTCCTGGCATCCTCAACGGTTGCACAAAAAAGAGCGTTTTGGGCTATTCATAAGTTATATTCTCACTATTCCAGTTAGTCAGTGAGTTACCTTTATCCACAAGGCAGAGGTAGTGCTGCATCGTTTAGCATTTAGCTATTCAACGGAGAAGTTTCATATTCCCTTGCAAAAAGATGCTGATTCAGCTTTCCCATATAACAGCTTTGTATTTCATGAGTTTCTTGCAGTTTAGTGTCTTTTCAGGATATTACTCCAGTGTCATGCCTTAACTGGGAGGATTTCTGTTAGTTTTGCATTTGAAATATGCCTGGTTTGAAAATACCGTGTAGTTTATTATGTTATTGCTCCACAGTTTATATTTTCCATAGCAAGTCACTCCAGTGTATTCTGCAATCACGTGCCAAAACTCCTGCCATGCAAAGCTGTTAGCACTTAAGATAAGCTCTCTCAGGAGCAGTAATAACTTTATTGATGTGGCAGAGTGTGTAAATATAGCATCAGATTTCAGGTGTGTATCGTTCAGGTCAGGGATTGAGTAAATACCAATAAGCCACTTAGATGCAGCAAGACATTGTTGTAGCTCCCAGTCCACGTGAGTTCCAGGCAAGGGCATCATCAGGTTTCAGCCTTTGATGTAAGATCCAAAGTGTATCCCAGGTTTAGGTACTCAATTATCCATGGGTGCATGCAGAATAAGTGGGATACTTCAATGCTGGGACTGCTAGTTATCCTGGAGGAAAACCACCTAAGAGTAACGACAAGTTATAGAGGAGAGCCTTGATGGCTTAACTGGGGATGGCTGGACCTGAATTCACCTGGTTTCTCGCTGTAGTTCTGTTGATCTTCATACATAACCTGCACCTTTGCTTCATCTGGAGGTACGAGCCTAAAAATGCTGGTTTAGTCTATACAAGCTCTGAAATACTCTGATAGTTACAGGCTGGTTCTGGCTGTTTCAGGTACGAGCAGCACCGCCACCCCCAACACAGCATCACCGCCGGACCACAGAGAAGATAGAGGACGTGGAAATCACCCTGGTGTAACGATGGGACTAGTTAAGTAGTAGTGCTACAATCAAGACCAAACGTGGTATTTGGTCGAATCTCAGTTTTTAGGCACCTTTGCATGATGAAGACTTTGACTAGAACAAGAGATAGGGAGGATTTTATGTGGCAGTGACCTGGTGGACTCCTTCCCGCAGTCATGACTATTTTGTGCCTTTTGAGTTTGTTGCTTTGATTTATATAAGTCATTCTTCCTCTCTTAGCACAAAGCAAGACAGGCCAAACAGCAAGCAGAGGATTGCCTTGGAGCAGGTTTCTCTCTTGGCTGAAGATGGTCAGTTTTTATACGGAGGCTGAAGAGAAAGAGCCTCCTTCATGCAACTTAGTCATAACGTCCTTCGACCACGTGCATTAGTACAGTATATTACTGTTGCCATAGGAATGTGTTAAAAGATTGTCCATTCTTCAAGTAGCATTTACTTTGTCTGATTAGGGATTAATCAGATTTGCAGAACGAAAAGAAAGGGAACTGAAATAAGTATAAATAGAGGCTGGCTCCTCTTCAATCCCCTTGCAGAAAGGAAGAAACAGGCAAAGAATCTTCTAGATGAGGCAAACTGATGCAGACCATACGTTAATGCACACCTCTTCAATGATGAACAGTTCAACTGTTACGTCCTTTGTATTCATATTTATGCAGTACATTTAGGAATAGAGTATCTAATCTGGAGGTGCTGAATTAGTAGCAACATCTTGTTTCATAGCATAAACCAACTGGTAGAAAAGTTAAGTGAGATTTTTGTCTAGATCTGGAAATTGAGCTTCTTTTTTTCTTTTCTTAGCAGATTTTGGGGGTTTTTGGTTTGGGTTCTTGTTGCCCAAGTATTTGGGTCACTCTTCTCCCAGTTATTGCCGTGTGCTTTATTATCCATCATTAGCAGTGTATCTTTGGCATCAGGACATCTTAGGAGTTACATTTAGAGTATTTACATGCATTAGTTAGTTTTGGCATTGGATGGTCCTGTAGCATATTCCCACATGGACACCCATTCATTAGCCAAAGCCAGGGAGCCAGGAGAACCTCTGGCTCCTGTGAAGCCTTCAGGCCACCGTGGTGGCCAAGACCACAGTCTCCAATTGCTCTTATAGGCAAGAAATAGAGAGTAAAAGAACTTCCCAACCACTTCTCAATTGAGATCTCTGAAAAAGGATCCTTTTTGTTCTTGAAATGGTCGGAGGAGAGGGGAAAACTGGAGGAAAAGGGGTTTTCTTTATGAACTCAATGATTTTCAGCAATCTCTATCAGATCAAAGGCATCATCACAAGGTAGGGGTTTCTCAGCTGTTGTAAGGGTTCTGTTGCTTTTGTGTCTTCATTTTCTTTCCTAAGCCAGTACGTTCTCTACCTTTACTTTATTAACAAGGGCTATTTTTTGAGGCTGCATTTACAGAAAACAGAATAAAAACCAACCCATCTAACCGGGTTTTACCATACACTTCACACATACTTGTCAATCCCAACCCAGGCTGTTTGCCAATCTCCTTTCCCAGTGGGATCTCGAACCTAGAGCGGAGCTGGTTGAAGAAACCCAGTCATGGATCAGTGCTGAAATCAGTGCCTGTCCAATGAAGTCTTTCCCATACGTGTCGTTCTTTTGCACCTCTTGTCCTGTTGATCTGTTTGAGGTCTTTTTATGTGTTTTATCAAACTTATTCTTAAGTTTAAAGAAGAAAAAGAAGTTTTTAAAGAGAAAAAAAAAAAGGATTTAACTGTTTGCAAACCATTTGGAAAGCTTCACCACGCAGAAGAACAACTATTGCCATCGTAACGTTCACCTTCGCTTTCTTTGGCCAGTTTTTCCTTGTGTCCTTCATCCCTGGACTTTCCAAACAGCAGAAAGCGTTATTTAAAGTCTCTTTTAGTTGTATTTTAAGATATTTTCTGTAAGAGCTGCTAATTTTATTTAAAAAAGAAAAACAAAAAAAAAAGGAAGAGAAGTTGTACAAAGACGCCTCCTTTTTACCTATGATTTCTTCATACAGGGCATGTATTGGACGTCTCATCGTGTACAGCGTCAGTACACTGAAAGCATAGGTGCAAGATGCTTTCTTTATATGGGCTGTAAAAAGTTTGTATTTATTATGTATAAAAAGTTGAATAATAAAAAAGTGGAAGTAAATCCATGACGCAGGAGCCGTTACGCAAGGTTTGGCCATCAATCCACGGGGAAAACCAGGAATTTGGGGATGAAAACGGACATTTTCTTGGCTGTTGCTTCTGTGCTTTATGCTTTTACGTAGAAATGTGAATCTTCTGCTCAGAAAAACCCTTCTGCACCACTTAGAGTGGTCTTTAACCATCCCTTTCAGGTGGTATTTATATGAGGGACTGAAACGATGCCCTGAATGAAGAGCCTGTAACAAAGCTCCACTTAGCAAAAGAATTGTTCAATTGCCTTGATGCAATTAGGGTAATTGCATAACGAAAGAGAGGGATTGATGATAACTCTTCAGTGTGATTGTCCATTAATAGGCTTGATTCGCCTAATTGTGTGAGGAGAATTCCTGCTGCATCCCACAGCCCTTTAGCATTAGGGTCCCTTTTTTTTTCCCTACAGGCCCTTGTCCCAAGCCCCTCTCCAGCTTTCCTGCAGCCCCTTCAGGCACTGGAGCTGCTCTAAGGTCTCCCCTTCAGGAGCCTTCTCTTCTCCAATGGCTCTGCTTCCCAGACTTTCAAAAGGGAAAATGAGAATTGGATGGAAGTGATGGGGCTTTGTGATAAAATTCACTACAGATTAATTGGGCCAGGGTTGCTGTCTGTTTGTTCCATGGGGATGTTTAAAGAAACCCAGGCACGCAGGTGAATTCTCCTTCCCGTATAGCACAGGTATCTCTCGCTGTTAACAGCAATTCAGAAGGAAAACAAACCCCTCACCTTCTTCTCCAATGGCAGGGGGGTTGGAACTAGATGATCCTAAGGTCCTTTCCAACCCTAACTGTTCTATGGTTCTATATAACAGAGCAATGGCTACTCTGCAACACCTGCAGCTCTCAGCATGGCAGAGGATAGCTCCCTTCATCCGCCCTTCTTTATGCTGAGCTCCCCGTGGAGCTTGGGAGAGGAGCTGCTGCCATGGGAAGAGCCCTTTCTGCCTGTGTGTACTCTGTTGGCACATTGGCCCTGCATAAGGCTGATGGGAGGGATGGGGGGAGTAGCTGCTCCCTCTGTCCTGCGTCAAGAGGTGAGCTCGGGGATGCTGAGACCTCACTTCAAGACACAGGGGGAGGGTGGAGAAAGGGGTAAAAGGAAAGGAAACGTCACAGAACTGAGGGATGCAGCACATGAGCCGCTGAAAAACGCAGCTGGGAAGATGCTGGCGTGCTCACTGTACCGTTAGTTCCCTACTCCAGGCATTCCCCTTGGGGGCATTGAGGATTAGAGATGCAGGAGGAGGATCAGTGTAGCGAGCGTGCCTCTGCATTGCAGGGCAGCTCAGCCGGTAAATCAAAGCACTGCAGCGCTCGGGGCTGGACTGGGGAAGGTGGGAATGCTCCGTGGTGACTGGAGTCGAACTGGAACAGAGCCCTCTGTTCCCGGCAAGGGGAGGGTGATGGATGCTGGGTTGAGTTCAGTACAGGCAGAGGCCGATTGAACACAGCAGCATTTGTGTGTGGAGCTGCTGCGGTCGTGTTACAGCGCTGCTTCCCGACACAGGCTGAACTGAAGCTGCAGCAGGGCAGGCAGCAGGTAGCCAGGCTGCTGGTTAACATCCTGGAATGTGCTTTGCATCCCAAGGGAAATCACAGCCCTTCCCCCCTTCCGAAATACAACCTGGAATTACCCTCTTGAGCAGCCCATGATTTGGTTTATATCACAGAGCAGAGCCAGCCAGGGGTGGAATAGAGATGGGCTGAGAAACAAGAAGTTACCTCCATAACCTGGACCTCTAGTCTCAGATGTTCAGGATTCCAGAAGCTCTTCCCTGTGAGGGTGCTGAGGCGCTGGCACAGGGTGCCCAGAGAAGCTGTGGCTGCCCCATCCCTGGCAGTGTTCAAGGCCAGGTTGGACACAGGGGCTTGGAGCAAGCTGCTCCAGTGGAAGGGGTCCCTGCCTGTGGCAGGGGTTGGAGCTGGAGGAGCTGTAAGGTCCCTTCAACCCAAACCAGGCTGGGATTCCATGGTTCTGTAATTCTCTGTGCCCTTGCATCCTGCTTATAAAACAGTGCCAGCATCACCTGAAGATTTCTCTTTATAGAGATAAATCTGTGCCTTATCACACTGCATAATGAAGTATCTTCTATCATAGAATCATAGAATCAGAACAGTTAGGTTGGAAAGGGCCTTAAGATCATCCAGTTCCAACCCCCTGCCATAGGCAGGGACACCTCACACTAAACCATGGCACCCAAGGCTCTGTCCAACCTGGCCTTGAACACTGCCAGGGATGGAGCATTCACAACTTCCTTGGGCAACCCATTCCAGTGCCTCAGCACCCTCACAGTAAAGAACTTCTTCCTTAGATCCAGTCTAAACTTCCCCTGTTTCAGTTTGAACCCATCACCCCTTGTCCTATCACTACAGTCCCTGATGAAGAGTCCCTCCCCAGCATCCCTATAGGCCCCCTTCACACACTGGAAGCTGCTCTGAGGTCTCCACACAGCTTCTCTTCTCCAGCCTCAACAGCCCCAATGTTCTCAGCCTGGCTCCATACAGGAGCTGCTCCAGCCCCTGCTCATCCTCGTGGCCTCCTCTGGACTTGTTCCAACAGTTCCATGTCCTTTTTATGTTGAGGACACCAGAACTGCACACAATGCTCCAGGTGAGGTCTCACAAGAGCAGAGCAGAGGGGCAGGATCACCTCCTTCGCCCTGCTGGTCACGTTCCTTTGGATGCAGCCCAGGATACGGTTGCTTTCTGGGCTGCGAGCGCACACTGAAGCCGGCTCATGTTCATTTTCTCATCAACCAACACCCCCAGGTCCCTCTCCACAGGGCTGCTCTGAATCTCTTCTCTGGCCAACCAAGACATGAAATGCCTTTTCTCCCAATCCCAAGTTTTTCCCTTTTATTAATGTGTTTTGATGTAGAATTTCCTTTTCCCAAAGCAGACCCAAGAGCAGTTGCTCCTGCTCTGGTGCAGTTACTTTTGCCTCCTGTAATTGCTTCTCCTTTTCCCATTGTTTATATAGAAAGGAACGGATTTCCAGGTCTGGTCGCATTGGGAACGCTGAGAGCAGCTCCTGTAAATCCCACAGCACAGCCATTTGTCTTCTTTACTGAGCTGAATCCTGCAGAATGGGCCAGCTCCAGCTTCACCTCTGTGTCCTGGGCAAAGGACTGCATCCATTCATCACCCTGACTCCTTCCTGCTTACCATAGGGAATGATGGAGAGGTGGGATGCAGTCTGCAGGCACCGGGTGTGGACAGGAGACAACAACAACCTGGGATTAACTTACTGAGTGGAATCATAGAATAGTTTGGATTGGAGAGGACGTTAAAGCTCATCCGGCTCCAACCCCTGCCATGGGCAGGGACCCCTTCCACTGGAGCAGCTTGCTCCAAGCCCCTGTGTCCAACCTGGCCTTGAACACTGCCAGGGATGGGGCAGCCACAGCTTCTCTGGGTAACAAGGAGTAAGCATGCATAAGGAGAATTGAGAGGCTGGGTGATGAAAAATAAGGATACAGCATTGAAAATAATGAGTATTCCGGTCTTAATTTCACATCCTTTGTCATGGCTTCTTTTTGAAGCAATCTTGCTGTATTGCTCTATGTTCATGTACAGTAAATGA